GTGCTCTTTTGACTCGGTTTTCGAGTTATAGAGGTTCGAGTTATTGAGGTTCGACTGTAATGTGTATGAATTGTAAATTTTTATAAACTTTTATTTTTGTATAAATTTCACTATTTATATACATTTCCCTACAATCGGAAATCAATTTCAAATAAAAGATTATACCATTACGTACTATATTCAACCTATTCAAACTGCGACTGGGTGCGATTACAAGTCGTACCATTTATAATCTTTTTTTTAAACTTTATATTCATGATATATACGTAAGATGTGTTTTCTTATATTTTATTATTATATGTATATTTTATCAGAAGTTTTTTTTACTTTAAATAATAAAACTGGTTCTGCTGCAAAAAAGTTCTTAAAAGACATCTAATAATAACATTTTTAAATATGATATTGATACTTGAAATATTTATTCAAATTTTATTATCTCTAACTTCATTATATGTCTGTTATAACTACCTGAGTTCTAAATACGTTATACATGTATATATAAATTTTGACACCATTGTGCGCCGCTCCGGACGGGCTCTCTCGGACGAAAGTTTCTCAAACGATAAACATTTTTTGCTTGCAGACGATACGCGAACTGCGGAAAACGACGATTAAGACTAGGTGACGTCGATTCGCCCACCTGAAACGCAAGATATTACCGCACGCGACTCGCTAAAGTCGTTAAAGCGAATCTAGTCGGATTTGGATACTTCGAAATAGTGAGTAATTGAAATTTACTTATTTTTCATCCAGTTACGAAAATTTTCGACAAAAAAGCATCAAGTTTTATCGAATAAAAAATCGAATCGTGTATGTAATTCTTTGGCAAGGATATCTTATTTCGTCTTGAATTTAATCTAAAATTTTTATACAGCCGAACCTCGATAACTCGAATCTCAAGGGAAGAGAAAAACCCTTCGAATTACAGAATTTTCGATTTATCGAAATTCGAGTAAAAAAGAGTTAACATATAAAAATTGAACTTACGGAGGCTTTGTACGAGAGTTTACAATTTTTCAATTTAAAGGAAAAAAATTTCAATATTTGACAGTGAATTATTTATTGCATATAATAAATGTAATCATAAAACAAATACCAGGCTATTATTCATGGTTACACATGGCTACAACTTCAAATTATAGAGACAGCGACAACAGAAGTTCGACTTGTAGAGGTCTGGCTACTTTAAATTCGAGTTGCAGAGGTAAAATAATACTGCATCTAAATATCTGATAAATAATTCGAGTTAAGGTAGGTTTTATTTCGATTTATAGAGATTTTCCGCAGTGAGGCGTGAAGGGAATGAACAAAAATTTCGTCTTATAGAGTCTTTTCGAGTTGTAGAGGTTTGAGTTATCGAGGTATCGACTGTATTTTTAAACTCCGAGTACTTAAACCGGATTAGATACTGTTAATTTAAAGTTTGCAAGTAGAAAGGATATTAAACGCGTATACTTACGTGATTATTTCGTATAATATATAACGTGGAGGATCGTAACGCGAATTATGTAATTAAGTTTTTCGTATATATGTATTAGCGATGAGCATTAGCTTTTCCATCCAGTTGCGTCAGTCGTGAAATAAATGTGCATGTTTAAGGATATGTGCTATAACTTCAATAACGTAATTTGGTTTGAGAATATATAGAATATTTTTTTCTTTTTTTTTAATTAGCCTAGCTTTTTGTGCGATAGGATCCGTATCAGATAGCGGTTTTCTTAATGAAATCAAAACCGAGGTTTCTCCTTTATGCAATTACTAAGCTGGCTGTGCAATATATCCCGCGCTTCCGGCGTCTTGTGTGCGAGTGTGTTGTGAAACTTTGTGAAAATTATTCGCACATCGTTCGTTCCTACGCGAATTACGGTATGAAATGAAATTGTACATACGTGGCGCGAGGAGACGGGTGAAGGTAAAGGGATGTTATTAAAAGATAAAGCAGTGTCTGCAATGAGATTTTAAGACTTAAGATTGAAGAAGTTAATCAATTACAGCGAATGTGGGGAGAATAATTGATTGTGATTGATCAATTTCTTAAATTTTAAGTCTTAAAGTTTTATTGTAGTACATTGTTAAATTCATAGTATTAATCTTCGGTTGTCACATGTTTATTTTCGGTCAAGTTTATCATTTGTCAATTTATTATAACCAATTTTTAAAAGGCCGCTTAAAAATTAAGAGTTTAATTGGATCGCCAAAATTCTTAAATGGAGTTCGAACATTGTAGAATGTATACTGATTGTAGAGAAATTTTAAATTAAAGTGGCATCGTTTTGAAAAAAATTCTTAAAAGAAAGTTTAAAAAAAAATCATTTTTAACATAAAAAGCTGGGATTATATTGCCAATTAGTATGACAACCGAAGATTAAATAAATTATATCCAATTTGAGTTATTTTTAATCATTTCTATAAGTTGACACTGCTTCTACTCAATATGTCATTAATTTTACTAAAACAATGAAGTTAAACAATTTAAGTTAAGAAATTTGATTGATTTTCTTATTTGTTACCATAATTAAATATATTTTATTTCTATTGTATACGAGATTTTCTTGTTAACCCTCACATTAAAACATATTTTTCCTTTTCCCAGTCCACAAGTGTTCAGAAAACATTTTTATTATAATTAACTTATAAAATTAGTGGGAGCATAATAGCGGTCTGTCACAGACCGACATTGTGATTAGTGTGATTTTTTTTAACGTGATGGTTTAAAGGTTAATAAAGCATAGAAATAGATTGATTAAATGTAGTAGTTTTTTTAAACCATATGTTTTGTGTTTAAAATAATACATTTTGACACATACATGGAAGTTGAAGATGTGTCGTACGTTTAACTCAAGGAATTGGGTTGCTTTTTTTAAGTCTTTTAACAGTGTATGAAGTATAGACACTATTAATGGAGACAAAATCGCTCAAGGTACGAGTAGATCGATTTCATAAGTTTCGATTTAAAAATCCGTTTACATATTTGCAGGGTTGGGTAAGTTAATATTTTTTTTAAACTAAGTTATAAGTTAAAGTTAACAGTCTAAAAATTTAACTTAGTTAAGATACAAGTTAGTCCATAATAAAATTAATTAAGTTAAAAGTTAAGTTAATAAAAAAAGTAATTGAAAAGTTAAAGTTAAATTTTTTCATTTTATAATTTTAGAGTTTCTAAATAAAGTTTCTAAATAAAGTATGTATTTGTTATACTTATTTCTGTCGAGCCACGGAAAGAGGACCGATTTCGAAGGACTTCTTCCAACGTGATTTAATGCACAGAAGGTCCGCGAACAGTGATTCCTTCCCGCGGTCAGACTATATTTATTATATTATTACAATCGCCTTGATGTGTGTTCTAAAATTTGAGTTTGAAGACACTAATTTAGACATGTATTTTATTTTGGGTTTACAAGAAGCACTAAAAATGTAACTTCAAGAAAGTTAGATCAAAATATATAGTTACCGATAAAATGTAACTAAATTAAATTAAAAGTTAAGAGCCTAAAATGTAACCAAGTTAAGTTAAAATTATTTAACTTTTTAACTTTTTAACTTAACTTTTATCTTTTTAACCAGCCACTACCCAACCCTGCATATTTGTTTAAATTTCTACGTTGCGCGACGAATTGAACTAAACGTAAACATCGGGACAGTTACGTTTAAATAAACGCGCAATATGCGCGTAGAGCGGGAGAGAGGATACCTTTGTTTCCGTTTCTGTTATTGGGCAAACTTCGCACACATTGCGCGTGTCGCCTGTGCGCGCGAAGGTGCGCGCGCGAGTGCCCTGCTCGGCCGCGTCGGGTCGGGGGGTCGGGTGGTGCGCGCTGCGCGGCGCGGGTGACGCGAGAGGGTCGAGACTCGAGAAGGGTGTGAGAGGGGAGGGGGGAGGCGCGGCGCGCTTTCATTGACGCGGCGTTTCTCCGGTACACAGTCTCGTAGCAGCCTCACGATCGTCGGGACGCCAATCGAGCGCTGTCGTCTCTCCGTACTCGAGTAATCTGAGCGAGCTCCCCGATACCTCGATCGGAGTCACGAACGTTCCATCCCCGTGTGCCGTGGTTTGCATCTCGTGCGATCTTCCGTGGTCTGGTGCGCGGTCGTAATTTTTCACTCGCGTCGAGCCGAGAGCGGGGCGGTGAGAGCAGCAGAAGCGAGCGGACGCCAGGGAGCGCCGGCTCTTCCGGTAAGTCGGTCGATTTGCGATAATTTTTAACGGGTGCAGGGCGAAGCCGGGGCGTGCGAACCATGCGCGAGGGGTGCAATATCGAGGGTGCAACGTACTCCGGGAGTGTTGGATTATATATATATATATATATCGCGCGATCGACGCAATATTGCGTGGTCGAGCGCGAGGAGGATTCTTCATCCGATGAATTTATTGAGCGTCATTTCTTCTCCGTAAAATCTCGAAATTTTTGCATTGAATTCTGCACTTGAGATAATATTCTTCCGGTAAATTCAAATTTCGCTTAAAGTTCGTTGAATCATTAAGAATCATCGATTTACAAGAGTCTATTAAAATCCCGACCTCTGAAATTGATCGAGGTATAAGATGAAGTTGGTAGATTAAGAAATTTAGCAGTGTTTATTTCGTATTCGATTTAAAGTCGAAATTCCCATCTTTCGAGTCGTTTGCGATTCATTTCTTCTCCGTGAAATCTCAAAATTTTTGCATTGAACTCTGCACTTGAGATAATATTCTTGCAGTAAATTCAAATTTCATTTAAAGTTCGTTGAATCATTAAGAATCATCGATTCACAAGAGTCTATTACAATCCCGACTTCTGAAATTGATCGAGGTATAAGATGAAGTTGGTAGATTAAGGAATTTAGCAGTGTTTATTTCGTATTCGATTCAAAGTCGAAATTCCCATTTTTCGAGTCGTTTGCAATTCATTTCTTCTCAAATCTCGAAATTTTTGCACTGAATTCTACACTTGAGATAATATTCTTGCAATAAATTCAAATTTCGCCTAAAGCTCGCTGAATCATTAATTAATCGTATCGATACAAGAGTCTATTAAAATCCCGACCTCTGAAATTGATCGAGGTATAAGATGAAGTTGGTAGATTAAGGAATTTAGCAGTGTTTATTTCGTATTCGATTCAAAGTCAAAATTCCCATTCTTTCGAGTCGTTCGCGATTCATTTCTTCTCCGTGAAATCTCGAAATTTTCGAATTGAATTCTGCACTTGAGATAATATTCTTGCAGTAAATTCAAATTTCATTTAAAGTTCGTTAAATCATTAAGAATCATCGATTCACAAGAGTCTATTAAAATCCCGATTTCTGAAATTGATCGAGGTATAAGATGAAGTTGGTAGATTAAGGAATTTAGCAGTGTTGATTTCGTATTCGATTCAAAGTCGAAATTCCCATCTTTCGAGTCGTTCGCGATTCATTTCTTTTTCGTGAAATCTTGAAATTTTTGCATTGAATTCTGCACTTGAGATAATATTCTTGCGGTAAATTCAAATTTCGCCTAAAGCTCGCTGAATCATTAATTAAGCATATCGATTTACAAGAGTCTATTAAAATCCCGACCTCTGAAATTGATCGAGGTATAAGATGAAGTTGGTAGCTTAAGGAATTTAGCAGTGTTTATTTCGAGTTCGATTCAAAGTCGAAATTCCCATCTTTCGAGTCGTTCGCGATTCATTTCTTTTTCGTGAAATCTTGAAATTTTTGCATTGAATTCTGCACTTGAGATAATATTCTTGCGGTAAATTCAAATTTCATTTAAAGTTCGTTGAATCATTAAAAATCATCGATTCACAAGAGTCTATTAAAATCCCGACCTCTGAAATTGATCGAGGTATAAGATGAAGTTGGTAGATTAAGAAATTTAGCAATGTTTATTTCGATTCAAAGTCGAAATTCCCATCTTTCTAGTCGTTTGCAATAATAAAAAAATTGTTCGCGTATTTAAATTTGACAGTTTTGTTAAGCTTTATTATAGCTTTGATAGCGCCAAGCGCATTATTAAAAATTCTGTGATGATTGGAAGTAAGAGTGATTAATGTGAGTGTTTCCGATTTATAAATTATAATTCAATCCGCTCACGCTCTTCCGCTTCATTCGCCCGTCGTAATGTGTACAAAGCGCACTAAATAACGAATCCCACGATTATGAACTTTCTTTGCATAAGTCTCGTATAAGGTGCTTTTACTTGAGATTACAATGTTGATTGAGGTACAATGAAATGAAAAGCGGCGGTGAATATATACGTTGATTTTATGGAAATTCGCAACCGCTTGAATACGTTGAAGACCGAACTGCAATTAGCGTGATGTTACTCGTCGACCGATGAGATTTTCTATCGACCGAAGTCAGGGAGTCGTGTTGAAAAGAGGGGGAGGGGGGGGGAGAGGGAAGAAAGGTTCGTTATTATCGACGAGAGTTGCAAATGTGCCGGATGAATAGCGCGTGAGATGTGCAGCGAAAACGTCGCGTTTAGACTCGATCGAGGAAAGCGTTTCCGACTTGCGCTGAACTTTACTTTCATAAGCGACACGATTTCATATTTTTTTACGTGCCTCTTCGAACGTACACAGAGAAGAAAGTGACCGACATTCTGTAACATTTAAAAAATTAAACAAAGTAGTATTTGTGATATAAATGTACTGTTAAATTCATAGTGTAAAATTTATTTAAATTTATTACTGCTCCTACTTAATATATAGTTATTTTTAACTAAAACACTATATTTATTTTTAAATAAAGCAATGAAATTGAACCCAAATTTGGGTTAAATTTGAACTGTTTTAAATTATTTAGTGAATTTCACGTCCAAAAGTTTTTTATCGACAATCACAAAACTTGTAAAATATACAAATATATTCATTTGTAGTGCCAAATATATTAACTGGCATTATTTAAGTTCTTTACACGATACGAGCAGTGATATGGTGCATATCTTATAACTTGTAAAAGCATAGAATTTCATCAATTTCATATTTCAGTAACTTTTATCTGGGACTGTATAGCCAAAATCCTTAAATTCGATAACCGTGCACGGAAGAACTATTTTGAAAGGTTTAAAAATTTTGCTAAAAACAGATCTGAAAATAATTTTTTATTGAATCATCAAAATAATTTGTTGGAATGTTAAAACTGATAAGTATTGCTATAAAACGTTTTGATATTCTAACAATCATTTTGACTTTTGCACAAAATAATTTTGATTATTGAACAAAAATTATTTTCAGATCTGGATTCAGCAAAATTGTTCTTTCCGTGTGCCGTTTTTGTTACGGAATTTTTTTCTAATTACAGGATTGATTTTCACACTCACACCGCGATATGTCGTAATAAAATCGTATGATTTTTCTGTAATCGAAAAAAATTTTGTAACAAAAACTTTTACCGAATTTAATAATTTCTAGTATACGGAAAAAACAATTTTGCTGGATTCAGATCAGAAAATAATTTTTGTTTAATAATCCAAATAATTTTGTTGGAAAATCAAAACGATTGCTAGAATATCAAACTGTTTTATAGCAACGCCTATCATTTTTAACTTTCCAACAAATTATTTTGATTATTGAACAAAAATTATCTTCAGATCTGTATTTA